AAAAAAAATTAACTCAATTCATCTTGTATAAGGCCTAGGAAGTGGAAAAACGCAATCCTGAGCCGTCCATCTGCCTATCCGGAACCCAAATTTCCTCAGGAATTGAATGGAATAGGTTTCAAGGCTCTATCTCTCATAGAGATGTGTATAAGAGCCAGGGGTGTAGGAAGTGGAAAAATGAAATTCTGAGCCGTTCATCTACCTATACGGAACCCAGATTTCCTCAGGAATCGAATAGGATAGGTTTTAAGGCTCTACCTCTCATAGTTTCCGAGATAATCACGAAAAACGAAAGTGCCCAAAAAAATTAATTCAATTCATCTTGTAAAGGCCTGGGAAGGGGAAAAAAACAATTCTGAGCCGTTCATCTACCTATACGGAACCCAGATTTCCTCAGGAATCGAATAGGATAGGTTTTAAGGCTCTACCTCTCATAGTTTCCGAGATAATCACGAAAAACGAAAGTGCCCAAAAAAATTAATTCAATTCATCTTGTAAAGGCCTGGGAAGGGGAAAAAAACAATTCTGAGCCGTTCATCTACCTATACGGAACCCAGATTTCCTCAGGAATCGAATAGGATAGGTTTTAAGGCTCTACCTCTCATAGTTTCCGAGATAATCACGAAAAACGAAAGTGCCCAAAAAAATTAATTCAATTCATCTTGTAAAGGCCTGGGAAGGGGAAAAAAACAATTCTGAGCCGTTCATCTACCTATACGGAACCCAGATTTCCTCAGGAATCGAATAGGATAGGTTTTAAGGCTCTACCTCTCATAGTTTCCGAGATAATCACGAAAAACGAAAGTGCCCAAAAAAATTAATTCAATTCATCTTGTAAAGGCCTGGGAAGGGGAAAAAAACAATTCTGAGCCGTTCATCTACCTATACGGAACCCAGATTTCCTCAGGAATCGAATAGGATAGGTTTTAAGGCTCTACCTCTCATAGTTTCCGAGATAATCACGAAAAACGAAAGTGCCCAAAAAAATTAATTCAATTCATCTTGTAAAGGCCTGGGAAGGGGAAAAAAACAATTCTGAGCCGTTCATCTACCTATACGGAACCCAGATTTCCTCAGGAATCGAATAGGATAGGTTTTAAGGCTCTACCTCTCATAGTTTCCGAGATAATCACGAAAAACGAAAGTGCCCAAAAAAATTAATTCAATTCATCTTGTAAAGGCCTGGGAAGGGGAAAAAAACAATTCTGAGCCGTTCATCTACCTATACGGAACCCAGATTTCCTCAGGAATCGAATAGGATAGGTTTTAAGGCTCTACCTCTCATAGTTTCCGAGATAATCACGAAAAACGAAAGTGCCCAAAAAAATTAATTCAATTCATCTTGTAAAGGCCTGGGAAGGGGAAAAAAACAATTCTGAGCCGTTCATCTACCTATACGGAACCCAGATTTCCTCAGGAATCGAATAGGATAGGTTTTAAGGCTCTACCTCTCATAGTTTCCGAGATAATCACGAAAAACGAAAGTGCCCAAAAAAATTAATTCAATTCATCTTGTAAAGGCCTGGGAAGGGGAAAAAAACAATTCTGAGCCGTTCATCTACCTATACGGAACCCAGATTTCCTCAGGAATCGAATAGGATAGGTTTTAAGGCTCTACCTCTCATAGTTTCCGAGATAATCACGAAAAACGAAAGTGCCCAAAAAAATTAATTCAATTCATCTTGTAAAGGCCTGGGAAGGGGAAAAAAACAATTCTGAGCCGTTCATCTACCTATACGGAACCCAGATTTCCTCAGGAATCGAATAGGATAGGTTTTAAGGCTCTACCTCTCATAGTTTCCGAGATAATCACGAAAAACGAAAGTGCCCAAAAAAATTAATTCAATTCATCTTGTAAAGGCCTGGGAAGGGGAAAAAAACAATTCTGAGCCGTTCATCTACCTATACGGAACCCAGATTTCCTCAGGAATCGAATAGGATAGGTTTTAAGGCTCTACCTCTCATAGTTTCCGAGATAATCACGAAAAACGAAAGTGCCCAAAAAAATTAATTCAATTCATCTTGTAAAGGCCTGGGAAGGGGAAAAAAACAATTCTGAGCCGTTCATCTACCTATACGGAACCCAGATTTCCTCAGGAATCGAATAGGATAGGTTTTAAGGCTCTACCTCTCATAGTTTCCGAGATAATCACGAAAAACGAAAGTGCCCAAAAAAATTAATTCAATTCATCTTGTAAAGGCCTGGGAAGGGGAAAAAAACAATTCTGAGCCGTTCATCTACCTATACGGAACCCAGATTTCCTCAGGAATCGAATAGGATAGGTTTTAAGGCTCTACCTCTCATAGTTTCCGAGATAATCACGAAAAACGAAAGTGCCCAAAAAAATTAATTCAATTCATCTTGTAAAGGCCTGGGAAGGGGAAAAAAACAATTCTGAGCCGTTCATCTACCTATACGGAACCCAGATTTCCTCAGGAATCGAATAGGATAGGTTTTAAGGCTCTACCTCTCATAGTTTCCGAGATAATCACGAAAAACGAAAGTGCCCAAAAAAATTAATTCAATTCATCTTGTAAAGGCCTGGGAAGGGGAAAAAAACAATTCTGAGCCGTTCATCTACCTATACGGAACCCAGATTTCCTCAGGAATCGAATAGGATAGGTTTTAAGGCTCTACCTCTCATAGTTTCCGAGATAATCACGAAAAACGAAAGTGCCCAAAAAAATTAATTCAATTCATCTTGTAAAGGCCTGGGAAGGGGAAAAAAACAATTCTGAGCCGTTCATCTACCTATACGGAACCCAGATTTCCTCAGGAATCGAATAGGATAGGTTTTAAGGCTCTACCTCTCATAGTTTCCGAGATAATCACGAAAAACGAAAGTGCCCAAAAAAATTAATTCAATTCATCTTGTAAAGGCCTGGGAAGGGGAAAAAAACAATTCTGAGCCGTTCATCTACCTATACGGAACCCAGATTTCCTCAGGAATCGAATAGGATAGGTTTTAAGGCTCTACCTCTCATAGTTTCCGAGATAATCACGAAAAACGAAAGTGCCCAAAAAAATTAATTCAATTCATCTTGTAAAGGCCTGGGAAGGGGAAAAAAACAATTCTGAGCCGTTCATCTACCTATACGGAACCCAGATTTCCTCAGGAATCGAATAGGATAGGTTTTAAGGCTCTACCTCTCATAGTTTCCGAGATAATCACGAAAAACGAAAGTGCCCAAAAAAATTAATTCAATTCATCTTGTAAAGGCCTGGGAAGGGGAAAAAAACAATTCTGAGCCGTTCATCTACCTATACGGAACCCAGATTTCCTCAGGAATCGAATAGGATAGGTTTTAAGGCTCTACCTCTCATAGTTTCCGAGATAATCACGAAAAACGAAAGTGCCCAAAAAAATTAATTCAATTCATCTTGTAAAGGCCTGGGAAGGGGAAAAAAACAATTCTGAGCCGTTCATCTACCTATACGGAACCCAGATTTCCTCAGGAATCGAATAGGATAGGTTTTAAGGCTCTACCTCTCATAGTTTCCGAGATAATCACGAAAAACGAAAGTGCCCAAAAAAATTAATTCAATTCATCTTGTAAAGGCCTGGGAAGGGGAAAAAAACAATTCTGAGCCGTTCATCTACCTATACGGAACCCAGATTTCCTCAGGAATCGAATAGGATAGGTTTTAAGGCTCTACCTCTCATAGTTTCCGAGATAATCACGAAAAACGAAAGTGCCCAAAAAAATTAATTCAATTCATCTTGTAAAGGCCTGGGAAGGGGAAAAAAACAATTCTGAGCCGTTCATCTACCTATACGGAACCCAGATTTCCTCAGGAATCGAATGGGATAGGTTTTAAGGCTCTATCTCTCATAGTTTTCGAGATTATCACGAAAAGCGAAAGTGCCAAAAAAAATTAATTTAATTTATCTTGTATTAGGCCTAGGAAGTGGAAAAACGCAATTCTGAGCCGTCCTTCTGTCCATAGGGAACCCAAATTTCCTCAGGAATCGAATGGAGTTGGTTTTAAGGCTCTATCTCTCATAGTTTCCGAGATAATCGCGAAAAAC